TCTGTCCCTCCCTCCATCCCACCCTTTCTTCTCTCTCTTTCTCTCTTTTGTTTTTTCTTCTCTCTTTCACGTGTACTGTATGAATGGATATGTGTCTGTGTTTCATGTGTGTTGTATGTATGCATGGATATGTGTCTGTGTGCAAGAGTATGTGTCCTCGGGTGTGCACAGAGGCCAGAGGAGGAAATTGGATTTCTTCCTCTATCCTTCCCTACCTCATTTTCCTGGAGACAGATCTCTTACTGAACCTGGAGCTTGCTGTTTTTTCTTTTGCTAGGCTGATGGCCAGGGACTGCAGTGATCCTCCTGTCTCCACCGACTTCCAGTGCTGGTGTGACAGGTGTCTGTGTGTGTCCAGACATGGCTTTTAAAAAATGTGCTGGGGATCTAAACTCAGGTCCTCGTGCTTGCTCTCCCCTGCCCTTAAGCACCAAGCCACCCCACCCCCTGCTCCCCCCATCGGTCTCTTTATAAAAGAACCCCAAGGCTAAAAAAGGACACACAGGTTTGGTGGGTGGGGAAGGAGGGGTGGATTTTGGAAGAGTAGAGGGAGGGAAGGAGGGTGAATATGATCAGAACAGGCCTGTACAAATTTCTTGAAGAACTTTATAAGAGCCATGAGCCTGAGAGAAAGAAGCTGGTTTATTTACATTCCAATTGTGAGACATTAGCATTTCCATCCAGACTGTAAAAGGGATTCACAATGAAAGAACGGGAAGAAATGATTCCTGAGGCAGCAGGCTTGAGCCCAGATGCTTACAAAGCATTGCAGGAGAACCCCCGCTGCCTCTTCCCTTAGGCCATTCCACACACTCTTCTGACTGCTGTCCCCTAAGGTTCCGCTAGAGGGTGGAATAAAGCGCGTTTTAATTTATGGTAATTTCATCTTGATTCTCTTTTCTTCTCTTTGTTCAGGTCTTGTTTGCGACGGATGACTTTTTTGGTCCTGCAGAAAATCTCATAAAGGTATGGATGGCTACACAGGCGTCCTATGTGAGGAATGATTGGCTTAGCTGAAGCTCTCTCTGCTGCCGTGTACACTGAAACCCGCTGGCCTGTCTGGGACAGAAGCGTGTGTTGTGTACTGGCTGGGAAGCATCAGACTACTGAAAACACACTCAAATCAGCTCCCAGGGAACACACAGGGACTGGTGGAGCCAGGAGAGGAAGGGAGGGGCCAAGTTGCCAGAGGAGAAAAAACTCCTTGAGTATGCCCTTTGATTCATATGGATTCCATACCCTGGGCTGGGAAGAAAATGGACACATCTTGAACTTTGGTGACATCTGCCTGATTACAATGGGTAGGACATTCTTGGTTAAAAGGTAAATCAGTGGGCTGACTTGCTTCACAGGCCTGAGTACCCGAGTTCCATACTTGTAACCCACAACAGAACCAGAGAATTGACTCCTGAAAGCTATTGTCTGACTCCACACACATGTCCTGCCACATCTCTACGGCATTCACACACACCTCACTAATAATAAAAATAGAAATTAAACTTGGGGGGCTGGAGAGATGGCTTAGCCATTAAAGAGCACTGACTGCTCTTCCAGAGGTCCTGAGTTCAATTCCCACCAACCACATGTTGGTTCACAACCATCTGTGATGGGATATGATGCCCTCTTCTGGTGTGTCTGAAGACAGATACAGTGTACTCATATACCTTAAATAAATGAATAAATCTTAAAAAAAAATTAAACTGTGGAAAGATAGAGCTGGGGAGATGGCTCAGTGGATAAGGTACTTGTTGAGTTTGGATCCCCAAAGTATGCAAAGAAACCAGTCACCGAAGTGCAAGCACCTGTAATTCTGGCACTGAGAAAGTGAAGTCAGGAGGATTCTTGTGGCTTGTTGGCCAGGCATTGTAACTTAATTGGTGAGCTCTTAGACTGGAAATGGTTAAAGAAGACATGAATGTCTATCTTTGGTCTTTACACATGTAAGCCTGTGTGTATAGACACGTATTCTTGTCTTTCTCACATACACACAGGCAGCCCCCAAAGTAGATAAATACAGAGACAACCGTACTGTGTCATCGTCCATGTAGGCGTGAGTGAAAAGATTTTTTGTGCACAGCTTGGAACAGACCACAGCAGACCAGACGGTTCCACGAGGGGAGGTTTATTAAGAGAGAAGAGAGAGCAGAGGTAGAGGAGTAGAGGCTGGCCATGACCACGTGGAGAGAGGGGGAAGGAAAGGGGGGGAAGGGAGAGGGGACAGGAACCTGCAGGCATGGGGTCAAGGGACCAAAAGAGGAGTAAGAGAGAGAGGAGGGGGCAAGCAGCCCCTTTTATAGTGGGCATGCCTACCTGGCTGTTGCCAGGTAACTGTGGGGAGGAGCATACCTGGCTATCGCCAGGTAACTGTGGAGGTGGAGTTTAGACAGAATACTAACAATGAGGGCTCTTATGTGTGGGGAGGGAAACCCAGGAGCAGGTCAGTGAGTGTGACTGCATTACCCATCAGCCTCGGTTAGAGGCTCCTAGAGATTGCTACTCTGTCAGAGCAGGGCCTGGCTGAGTTCAAAGCAAGTTACTTCCATAAATAACTCTGAAGGCACTGTCTATATACTAATTTACTTTTTACTCAGGAGAAGGCAAAATAAAATGAGAATAGAACGAAGGTACCAGGGAGTTGGGTGAGAGTGTGTGGCTCCTGACACACACTCTAGGAGCATCCTTGAGAATGAGCAGGCTTCATGCAGAGCTCATGCAGGAGCACCCAGGGCCTGAAGGCCACATGCCGAAGGGAGAAGGGTAGGAGGGTGACAACAGGCCCTTATTTCTATTTTACATTCTAGTGTATCCATGAGCATGCATGTAATACCCTTATACCAACACACATGAGCATATCTAGTCACACTTAAAACATTAGGCATGGGTTTACATTTTCCCATTATTATAATAATTATTATTATTGTTGTTGTTGTCATTATTATTATTACTAATTTATTTATTTTAAATCAGAAAAGTCTCCCTTGTAGCCCAGGCTTGGAATTGACTTTTATAGCCCAGGTTGGATTCAAGCTTATGGCAGTCCAGCTGCCTCATCCTAATTAGTGCTGGGGTTATAGGTGTGCCCCATCATGCTTGGTGATTCTTTTTCTCCTTTTTGCGGGAGTTTGGGGGAGAGAGGGGAATGGAGGAGGGGGGAGAGAGGTGGGGAGGGGGAGAGGTAATTGGTTAAGCTAAGGTCCTTTCACTCATTGTTCATAGCCCACTCCTCACCCTCCCCTTGGCAGAATGGACTGCTACCTAGCAGTAGTTTTTGTCAGCGTTTGGTATCAGAGCACCACACGCACAGACGTACGCAGCAAACACATGTTCCTACAGCTTGGAGTCTGGACATCTAAGATCAAGGCTAGCAGGGTCACTTCATTGTGTCCTTATAGGTGCAAGACAGAGAAAGGATACTCAGCTCTTCTAATGGGACCCAGGCCTATAGCAAGGAATCCAGCCAGTTAGCTTCATACCATGAGAGTAGGCAGAGTATCAGAGAGGAGTCAGTTTTTTTTTTTTTTTAAAGATTTATTTATTTATTATATATGAGTACACTTGTAGCTGTCTTCAGACACTCCAGAAGAGGGCATCAGATCTCATTACAGATGGTTGTGAGCCACCATGTGGTTGCTGGGATTTGAACTCAGGACCTCTGGAAGTGTAGTCAGTGCTCTTAACCACTGAGCCATCTCTCCAGCCCGAGGAGTCAGTTTTTAAAGAGGGAAGGTTATCTCTGCCTCATGGTTTTCAGAGTTCTCACCTATGACTTCTTGGCCTGTTGCTTTGTGCCTGGGGCAGAACAGAATGTCATGCTGTGAAGTGGAGGACTGCTCACCTGAAGGCAACCAAGGGACAAAAGAGAAAGGGCCCAGGCTTTAGTACCTCTGCCAGCAACTCCAGAAGACCCCTCTTTAGGCACCGTCTCATAATGTGCAAAGCTGAGGGTTAAGCCTTTGTTTGATACCTGGGCCTTTGGGAGTGTTTAACATCCACACTATAAAATGTTCTGCCTTTGTGAACAAATCACTCCCAAGCTCCCACATGGTCACACCAGTTCCTGGGCAGGAGGCTTTGACACAGGAATCGGAATCTGGGGACATAAACATCCAGTCCATGGCAGAAAAGTCTGATGTGTCTTATACTTTAAAGTAATTGTATCTATAAGTATATAATATGCTTTGTAGTTTTTAATGCTCTCATATCTTAAGTACCTGGCATTCTGGAACTATGTTCTCTTCACTGACTGAGTATCCACCATGGTCCTTGCAGACCCAGGCTGCCCTCTTCATTGCTGAGTGAGTGGCTGTCACTGTCCCCTCTCCCTGTCTATATACATTTGTGTGGATTACATTTAACTATGTGCCCTTCACTGTAGAGCAGGCTCTGGGCAGTGAGAGAGTCCCAGGGCCAGCTTAGGTTCTTTATTCAAATATGCAATTCCACAGAGTTCTTTTCCCTCCTGTCACCCAACCTGGAGTGTGAGAACTTTGGAATATTTTAGATGATTAGATCAAGGATGATCTGTAATAGAAACAAACATGTTGCCAGCTTCCTAGACTAAGTAAACATGGGGACTTCTTATGCAGCCCGGTATGTTTCAGTGGTGGCCTCTGTTAAGAGATAGTACTGATACCATCTGCTTTTGACCCATGAAGGAAACTGAGGTATACAGGGGGTGAACTTGCCCCACAGGCCCTTGGTTGGGAGCTCATGGAATGCTTGCCCTGTGAGAGGTTGTCCATGTGTCATTTCGATGTCACCATACTCCATGGAGGCTGTGTAGTCGTCCTGGTTTTCAAAGATGAAGCCTATTGCTCAGTGGTTCATTCTAAGAACCCGAGCTGGCATTGTCGCCACCAGGAGTCCTTGCTTTCCCACCGTGGTGACACAGTACCTACAACACAAGGTCACCAGTGTCTATCCTGACCCCAAGTTTCCAGTGGCTTTTCCCATGACCTGGTCTGGTGACCCATTCCATGATCTCTTTCATTGCCTTGGAAGTGTTCCATTTTGCTCAATGCCCACCTACGCACAGCAGACAGGCAGCATTCACAGAGCCTGCGTGTGGTCTCTCTGGTTGCTGATAGTGGTTCATTCTGTGGACCGAGGATCACAGACAAGACGAGTTATGTTTGCAGATGATACAAAATATGGAGACACCCTCTGGTCTGGTGGTAGAGCTGGGCATGAAGATGGGCAGACAATCCCGGAGAGTCCTTGTGTGCTTTCTCTGTCTATCTCTTTGGGATATAACCTGACAGGCTGGTAACTCAAGCTCTTCATGAATGGTAACGATCTCTTGTCCATCTTCTTAGAGCGACGGTCCGAGTTTTAAGGAACATGAATACACTGAGTTTGGGAAATGGGTGGATGGATGGGAGACCAGGCGTAAACGAATTCCAGGTAAGGAGGGGGGTTCATCCCACGCTGTGCTTGGTGGCTGCTTGGGCTGAGCATGAAGCTCAGCTGGTAGAGAGCTTGCCTAGTATATTAGTCATTTTTCAATTGCTGCCATAAAATAATATGACTCTGGAAACTCATAGAGAAAAGTTAATTTTGCGCTTAGTTTGAAGGGGCTAGAGTCCATCATGGGGGCAGGGAGGCGTGACACCAAGAGGCAGATGAATGGAGGGGCAGGAGGCTGAAAAGTCACATCTGTAACAGCATGTATGAAGCAGAGAGTGAAACTGGAAGTAGCTTTGAATGCTCAAAGCCTGTCTCCAGGGACATATTCCCCTAGCAAGGTCCCACCTCCTATGTCTCTCCAAATGGCTAATTGGGAACCAAGGATTCAAATGCATGAGCCTATAGGAGACACTTCCCACTCTAAATCACCACACCTAGCACTTAGGAAGCTTTGGGTTTGATCCTTGGCACCATATACACCATGTGTGGTGGGGCACACCTATAACCCCAGCCTTAGAGGTGGAGGCAGGAAGATCAGGAGCTCCAGGTAAACCCAGTAGAGGTAAAACTTGCTGTTTTGAGCCTGCACTATGTGAGCCTCTGGAGTGCTGGTAGTGGGCTCCGCTGTGAAGCCAGTGTCCTGAAGGCTTGGTAGGTACGTAGGCATACTGGGGCATGGATAAAGTGGAGGCTGTAGAGAACTCTGAAAGAGTAGAGAGTAAGTTTGTAGAAGAGCCAGGCTGGCAGAATTCCACACTATGGTGGCTACACTGAAGCTTTCAAAAGCAAATGTCTTCTCTGGCTTAGAATTGGAGAAACAAGCCTTAGAAAGATCCGTGATTTGCCTAGCACAATAATGGGAAAGGAGAGGCTTGGAAACTGAGTTGGTCTCTCTGAATCCTTTTTTTTTTTAAAGCTAGAATTGAGGACTCTGTGGGTCATGGTGGTCCTTGGTGGTCACATTATGAGAATTACCCTGAACGTGTGCTTCCATGGTGGAAGATGGGGCCTCATAGCTGCTATCATTCCCCATTGGGATGTCACAGGTGCTCTCATCTCCTGTGGGAGTTCAAGGATGCTCTTCTCATCCTCCATGGGACCTCATGGGTACCCCTGTCATCCCCATGGGGCTCCATAGGTATTCCTGTCATCCTCATGGACCCCCATAGGTATTCCTGTCATTCTCATGGGCCCCCATAGGTTCTGGACATTCCCCATGGGACCTCACAGGTGTTCTTGTCCTCTCCTGAACATTATGGGTGTTTTTGTGGTCCCGTTGTACAGGTCATGACTGGTGTGTTATCCAACTGGGAATACAAGGCATTATTCGTGGTATCGACGTGGACATTTCTTACTTCTCAGGGAACTATGCTCCTCGAATGTCAATTCAAGCAGCAAACTTGAGTGAAGGTATGTGGGAGCCACTGACCTCAGAGAGGACTGTGGGATGGGAGGCTCCTCTGACTCATCTTTCTGTAAGAAGTAAAGGTGCCAATTCTCTGAGGTTGTTGGGCTGCAATGGAGTCTTAGACCTAGGGTTCTGATGGGCTGTCCTGAGGTGATGTTCAGCTTAACAATGTTTGCTGGTCTAAGACAGTGGCCATCATCCATCCCCCCAATGCTCAGGTCTGCAGAGGTGCATCCTTGTGCTCTCTCTGGGTGGGGGCACTTGCTGAGCTGGTTATTGGGGAAGCTAGAGACACCCTCTGGTCTGGTGGTAGAGCTGGATATATGGGCATGAAGGAACCAGAGCTAAAGTAACTACAGGCCAGAAGCTCCAGCCCACTCTCAGCTACCTAGGAAGCTCCATAGTGCTGCAGCTCTGGGGCTCTAGCCCACTTCTAGCTACATAGGGGTCACCACTGTGTAGCAGCTCTGGGGTTCTTAGTTACTGCTCCTTTCTACCTGTGGGAACACTGGCTATTGTAATTTATTGTAAATTATTCAGGTTTCATAATTTATCGCATCATCTGTTGTTGACATTTGAGTCAGTTCATACGTGGTCGTATGAGCACACACACATTTTCAGGGAGTATAAATTTGTGTCTCTGGACACATCGGTACTGACAAAGTGCTGTGTGCACAGTACCATGACGGGCTCTGCACAGGTAAGCTGGCCCTACTATCCTCAGATGACTAGGCTCCTGGGGAAGTTAACGACAATCTGAGAGATGAGACCCCACACAGAAGCTATGGCGAATGACACATGAGAGACAGGTCAGAAGTGCTTTGAGTGTTTGTAGATGCTGCTGTGTCTGAGCTGGCAAATTCTGAGCCTGAAGCAGATACTCGGGGAGGCAGGGCTTGTGGAACTAACCTTGAGATATTTTGAACTCAGAGCGATCCATCTGTGGGATTTAGCCTAACTTGAAACAATGAGCAAATGTGGTACCCACATATCCCATTGCCCTCTGAGAAGTAAGTTAGCAAATTACACAGTGAGGGACCCCAGGTGGCACGCTAAAGTCTAATCATTAATTCTGTGACTAAAGCAAGGATGTCATTGGGGCTGTTGTATTTGCCACACACCACCTGAGAGAGAGTTTGTTCTTAGCTTCTCAACCCTGATCCTGTGTGGTTGTTTTGTCTTCAGATACAATGTCAAACATTCCACCAAGGGGAGTTAAGATGGGGGCTGCAGCAACGCCTGAGGAATTTGAAGCCATTACTGTGGTAAGACGCTGGTTCTTTGTGCCAGGACTGCAAAGAGACTGTTGCAGGCTTGGGTATGTGAGGCAGTTGTCTGGGATACACCACTTGGCATGCTGTACTTCTTGTATCGACACAGTGTGACAGTACAGAGGTTTCCTCAGTGGTTCATCTCCTTCTGTGTGGGAGAATGGCCTGGCTGTCCACAGCCTTGAAGGGTCATTGGGTGCCCCCTGTGGCTGCACACTGTTGCTGGCCATACTAGGAAACCCTTCACATTTACCTCCCACAGTGACTTGATGAAGTAACTTTGTGTCTGATGAACTTAAGATAAACAACAGGGCTTGGCACCTTTTTCTTGCGTTAAGTTTGTCTGGTAATTCATCTGTGCTGTTACAAACTTGTTGATCTACGTCTAACTGGGAACAGCGAATGAGCCAGCTTTCTGAGAAGCTAGCTTTCAGCCAATTGTCTCCTTGGGCTTAAAGCCCTGCGTTTTAGCTGAATGCCCACATTACCACTCTGGTTTCTTTTAAGAATCAGGAAAGTGGTGTTTGAAAACTCTTTCAGTTTACAAGCATCACCATTACCTAGTTATCAGTATAGGGGAAAAAGTCTCCAATGGGAAGTTTAGTTTGTTTATTATTAAATTGTGTCACTGTACCTGAATTGTGTGGTTCTGGTTCGGCAACCATCGCACTCTTCTTCCTTAATGCTTGCACAGGATAAGAGGGTGCTGTTCTCAAGAGCCAATGCTGACGTTTCTGTATTTATTACTAGCTGAAATCGCATTCCTGGGACTACCTGGTTCCCATGTCGGAGCTTAAGCCAGGGGAGCCTGACTCCAGCCACAACTATTTTTTTGTTAATTCCCAGCAGAGATGGACTCACATCAGACTCAACATCTTTCCAGGTAGGTGCAACAGGGACCTTCGACAGGTGTGTGGGACTTTTCTTCTTACATTGTCATGTTTACATGGAATACAAAATAAGCCACCTTGCCCTGGCAGTTCGAGTTTGGTGTATTTTAGGATTGTGATTTCTCTTGTGCTTTAAACAATAGATACTCTACTCACCAATAGGTAGCTAATGAAAATCTAACAATTTAGCTAGGTGGTGGTGGCTGGCACCTTTAATCCCACTGTTGGGGAGGCAGAGACAGGAGGATTTCTGAGTTTGAGGCCAGACTGGTCTATAGAGTGAGTTCCAGGACAGCCAGGGCTACAGAGAAACACTGTCTGGAAAACCAGAAACAAAAATGTATCAACTTAAGACGTGTTAGAACTGAGCTGTGCTGGAATTCCATGTTTCCTATTGACTTGTTTTTCCTTTTTTTTTTTTTGGATAAAAAAATCCTTTTAATCAATTCTTCGTGAGTTTCACATCTTGCACCCTAGTATGAGAACTTCATTCCTCTTTTGCCAAATGACATTGTTTTATGGTTAGAGCCATTTATATACCTGTTCATCCATTGGTAGACATTTGTTTATACCTGCTGGGTATAATGAACTATGCTATTAATGTTCACTTATAATAGGAATTTAAGATTATTTTATATATATGAGTGCTTCACCTACTTGTCTATCTTGTTTGCCTATGGAAGCCAGACAAAAGCATCAGATCCTCTGGATCTAGAGTTACACATGGTTGTGAGCTATATGGGTGCTGAGAATCAAATTTAGGTCTTCTGGAAGAGTGCTTGTAACCACTGAGTTTTCTCTCCAACTCCAGCGTATATATATTCTCTCTCTCTCTCTCTCCATATATATGTATATATATGTATATAGACATGTATATAGACATATATATAGACATGTATATGACGTTTCTGGATCATATAATAACTCTGTGTTTGAGGAGTTGAGAAATTTCCAGAATGGCAGCCATATATAAGGCGTTTGCCTTCTTCAGTTCCCTCCCACTGTCTTGTCACCTGGTCAGTGTGAGATGATGTCTTGCTGTCGTTTTGATTTGCACTTCCTTGGTGACTAATGATGGTAACTTGTGTGTTTACTGGTCATTGGTATATTTTCTTTGGAAGGCTGTCTTTGCAGCCATTTGTTTTCTTGATGATAGACAGTCTGACTGATGGTAAGACGGGGTCTCAGAGAAGTCTTAATTTGCATTCCTCTGATAGCCGAGGCTGAGGAACTCTTCAGACAGTGGCCGTTTGTGCTTCTTCTTTAGGGAGCTGTCTATTCAGTTCAGCCCATTCACTGATTAGACGGTTTGGTTTTATTTGTTCATTTTTTTCTTTGTATATTCTAGACATTGATCTCTTGCCTGATGTAAAGTTGATGCCCTGCCCCCAAGTCTATATCGGCCATGTCTTCATTCTGGTGATTGCTTCTTTTGTTGAGCAGCAGCTTGTCAATTTCACGAGATTCCATCAGTTCTAGGTTAAGTTTTGTATTAATAGAGTTCTATTCAGAAATTTATCCCTATCTTCATGTTGTGAAATATTTTCCCCTAGCAGTTTTAGGTCTTATATTGATGCCTTTGATCCACTTAGATTTGGGTTTTGTTCAGGGTGAGAGATATGGAAAAATTTTATTTTTCTTTGCTCTTTCTTTTTTTCTTTTGGTAAGGTAGGATCTCTCTGTATAAGAGTTCTGGCTGTCCCGGATTTGTTTTGTAGACCAGGCTGGCCTCAAACTCACAGAGATCCTCCTCCCTACCGTCTCCCAAGTACTGGGATCAGAAGTGTGTGTCACTGCTTCCCTCATTTTTCTACATGAGATATCGAGTATTTCCAGCTCCATTTATTGAAGAGGATGTATGCCTCTTTTTTACATTGTCTGTTTTTGATTTTTTTTTTTATCAGAAATCAAGTAACTAAATTATTTCCAGGTCACAGTGTGGAGGAAGACACCCTCATGGGAAAGACCTGAACAGGTGTTTGCAGTATCAGCTTGCTAATCCACCCATTCTGAAAACAGTGGAAGGGGGCATGTGAACAGAGACAGGAGAGGGTGGCCTTTCCTTACTTGGTAGTTCAGCAAACTCTGGGGGCATCCACTTTGATAAAAGGACTAAGTGTGTCTAGAAGTCATGTGGGGCAGTGCTAAGAGACAGTAGTTGTCATGAAGACAGGGCTAGTAACTGTCAGTGGTCAACACATGGATAGCTTGCCACCCCACACAGGCTGAGTGTGGAGGTTCAGGAAATGTGTACTGTCAGTCAGATGACATGGTCTTTGCTTCTATGAAGCAATGAAGACGACTAGAAAAACAGCTGAAGTATTTAGGTAAATCCATAAGAAATTTCCATTTAAAAATATAGCTTTACAGCCGGGCGGTGGTGGCGCACGCCTTTAATCCCAGCACTTGGGAGGAAGAGGCAGGCGGATTTCTGAGTTCAAGGCCAGCCTGGTCTACAGAGTGAGTTCCAGGACAGCCGGGGCTACACAGAGAAACCCTGTCTCGAAAAAAACCAATCTCTGTCTCTCTCTCTCTCTCTCTCTCTCTCTATCTCTATCTCTCTATCTCTCTATCTCTATCTCTATATCTTTACATTAGGTGTGCTATATGTGTGTTATGTGTCTGCGTGTGCATGAGTGTGACTAGCATGAGTGTGGTGGCCAGAAGACAACTTGAATTACTTTTCTCCATCATGAGGATTCTGAAGACTGAACTCAAGTCCTCCCTTTTTCTTGACAGCAGGCAACTTTACCTGCTGAGCTATTTTACCAGCCCCAGGAAATTTCCATTTTTGGTATGGCAAACTTCATGTGTTCAACCCAACTTGCTTGAAGCTTAAAAGCCGAAAGAATGTCTCAGACACTCCTCAGGGCAAGCCTTGCCTTGCTGGTTTGGATCCTGAGGATACCTGGGTATTTTTTCAGTTGGCCATTTGTCTTTTGATCTGGTTGAAGGTGAGAGGTGGACACTTCTGCGAGATTTCTCCTGTCTCTTTGCTGATTCCCTGCTGTTCTGTGATGATTCTACCTGGGAGACAGTTTTAGGAGGGACAGGAACTGTAATCTACGAGGATGCTGTCACTGAGCCATTGAGGACAGAGAGGCATTTTTGAAATTCTTTCATCATTTTGAAGGTGTGGATGGATATTAACTCCATAAAGAAAAACCTTACCATTAAGGGTTGCTATTGGCTTTATACCTGAGAGATAAATATATTAGTGTTGAAATGAAGCACTGTATTTGGGTACCAGAGCAGCAGTGTCTCCCTCTTAACGCCCTCTTGATGGATAGTCCCTGCCCTAAGATTTCATGCCAGCGAAGTCTGGTTTTATAGGTTGAAAACAAAGATATCTACTCGTTATCAGAGTATTTTTAGAACACTCAATTTTACACTTTTTCTTTTTTCTTTTGATGGAGGTTCAAGAGAGGGTTTCTCTGTGTAGCCCTGGCCTTCCTGGAACTTACTCTGGTAGACAAGGCTGGCCCCAAACTTAGAGATCTGTCTCTGCCTCCAGTGTGCTGTGATTGAAGGCCTGTGCCACTATGCCAGGCACCAATTCTTTTTCAATGTTTAAATACATGGGGCTCAGATTCAGCATTTAGTTAAAGGACATGAATGTCTTTGCAAAAACCTCTTGGCTTCTGCCTCCCAGAAAGCCACACCCTGATGAAGGAGGAGGCTTGTCTGTGACAATCAGGGGCTGCGAGTGGATCTGGGCAGCTGTTTGCTTCTATGCTTGCCTTGTGTCAGGCTGAGCTGCTCAGCAGTGAGTGGCTTTTCCGAGGACCATCTTTTGTGTCACATGCACTGTGGGCAGCACCATGGGAGTCTTAGGGTCACCAATGTTTGCTTCTGACACCAAATGTGTTTTAAATATTCCCCTCCACCCCCATGTGTGTATGTACGCATGCATGTGCCCATGAGGGCCAGAAGAGGAAGTTGGGTTCTCTGGAGCTGGAGATACAGGTGGGCCACAGTGTGTGGGTGCTTGGGTGCTGGGTCCTGAATTCCTGTCTTCTACTATAACAGTGAGCGTTCCTGATTGCTGAACCACCTCTCCAGCCCCCAAACACACTATGGACAATTTTCAGTGGAGTTTTGACTTTATTGGAGCAGTTTCATAAAGTAGTTGGTGCTCTGCCATGTTCTGGGAACTGCATGGCTGTGACACAGTCTGTAACTGGTCTGTCCTGCAAGGATTTTATACTGCAGTGGACATTGCCCCAGGCCCCTGCAGTGGACACTGTCCTAGGTTCCTGCAGTGGACACTACCCCAGGTTCCTGCAGTGGACTGCAGGGTGTCTGTGGAGCCAGCATTAGTTGAGATTTACAGAAATGAAAACAAAACAAGTAGCTTCAGGCTATGGTTAGAGCTATGGAGTGAAGGAACGTTACCTGGTGAAGTAGACAGGAGACTAGGGGATGGGTAGGAGAGGGGTGCTGTAGGCAAGTGAAGGTAGTTTTGGAACCATGACACTTGGGGGCCAAGAATGACAAGGAGTGTGGGAGACCTGAGGAATTTGCTCAGGTACAAGGCAGTGTCTGCTGCAGGAGCCTGGGACAGTGTCCACTGCAGGAGCCTAGGGCAGTGTCCGCTGCAGGAGCCTGGGGCAGTGTCCACTGCAGCAACCTGGGGTAGAGTCCACTGCAGGAACCTGGGACAGTGTCCACTGCAGGGGTCCGGGGTAGAGTCCACTGCAGGAGCCTGGGGTAGAGTCCACTACAGGAGTCTAGGACAGTGGCCACTGCAGGGGCCTGGGGCAGTGGCCACGGCAGGAGCCTGGGGCAGTGTCCACTGCAGGAGCCTAGAGCACTGTCTGGTTCAGGGACCTGGGGCAGTGTCCACTGCAGGAGTCTGGGGAAGTATTCACTGCAGGGGCCTAGGGCAGTGTCCACTGAAGGAACCTGGGGCAGTGTCCACTGCAGGAGCCTGGGGCAGTGTCCACTGCAGGAGGCTGGGGCAGTGTCCACTGCAGGAGGCTGGGGCAGTGTCCACTGCAGGAACTTGGGGTAGAGTCCACTGCAGGAACTTGGGGTAGAGTCCACTGCAGGGGCCTGGGGCAGTGTCCACTGCAGGGGCCTGGGGCAGTGTCCACTGCAGGAGTCTGAGGCAGTGTCCACTGCAGGAGCCCAGGCAGTGGGCTTGCTGTTGTTGTAAGTCTAGAGGGAAGGGAGATGGGAGAAGGCTGACATGCCCCTAGGGTCCATGACACACCAACAGTTAACTTTTCCAACAATAACACAGGCACTTTTCCTTCTCAGATGGTGGTGTTGCACGCCTTCGAGTGTACGGTACTGGACAGAGGGACTGGGCTGCACTGGATTCCACAGAACCTGTAGACCTGGTGGCCATTGCTTTTGGGGGTATCTGTGTAGGATTTAGTAATGCACACTTTGGACATCCAAATAATATGATAGGTGAGTGGGAATCCCAGGAGCTGGTCTTCATGCAGAAGTGTGGGCTCCAGCATTGCAAGCTGGGCATGGCCAGAATGATGTCCCCAGGTGTGGGGTGGGGGCCCTTTCAGAGAATGAGAGTAACTCAATGCCTCTGTGATATGGAGTGGGTCAGCAGGAGTCATGGTTCTGTTGGGTAGTATTGGTGGATGCCATTAATCCTAGCACTTTGGAGGCAGCAGCGGGTGGATCTCTGTGGGTTCAAGGCCAGCTTGGTCTGCAGAGCAAGGTTCAGAACAGCCAGGCCTGTTACACAGAAAAACTTTGTCTCAAAAAAAAAAAAAGTCACAGTCCTTCTTAATTTCAGCCCAAATAGCTGGTATAAGAGAAAAACTAATTAAATCAGTCTTGTGCTGTGAATTCATAGAAATATCAACTCTACTAAAATTAATTTATGTAGGGATACTTGGAATTGTGGGATGTGAAATTTAATGATAGCAAATCCATTCCCACATTTAAATTAAATCAAAGGTCATTCTATTAACCCCAGCTTTTTCCTGTAGGTGTCGGCGAACCCAAGTCCATAGCAGATGGTTGGGAAACTGCGAGAAGACTGGACAGACCCCCAGTGTTAGACGTAAGACCAGCAACATCTGTAGTTTCGAGTTTTTATAGAATATGTTTAAAAACTACTTCTTTCACATTGCATTATGGAGAAGTGCACTTCATGAGGGATCTGTTTGAGCTGGGTATCTTGGCTCTCTGGGGAGACAGAGGCAGGAGGATCAGGAGTTCAAAGCCATCCTCAGTTACTTTGAGCATTAGTTTAACTGTTAACTTGACACAACCTAGAATCACTTGAGAAGAGAATCTTAGGAATTATGGAGAATGGTCTATGAGCATGTCTGGGGGAGAGATTGCTTTGATTGTTAATTTTTTTCTTTTTCTTTCTTTTTTCTTTCTTTCTTATTTTTTTTTTCGAGACAAGGTTTCTCTGTGTAGTCTTGGCTGTCCTGGAACTCACTCTGTAGACCAGGCTGGCCTCAAACTCGGAAATCCGCCTGCCTCTGCCTCCCAAGTGCTGGGATTAAAGGCATGCACCACCACTGCCCGGCTACTTTTGACTGTTAATTGATGTAGGATCCAGACTATGTGCATAGCACCATTCCTTGGTTTGGGGCCCTGGGCTGAGTTAGAGGAGAAAAGGCTATCTGATCAAACCGGCAGCGTGACATTAACATGATGTGGCCAGCTGCTTGTGCTCTTGACTTGACGTCCTGAGATACAGCTGCTGACAGGGAATGGTCAGCTGATAAACCCTGTCTTCCTTGGGCTGCTCTCTGATGGAACATTCTAGCAACAGGGATGAAACCAGGGAAGCCATAGGGAGCTCTAGGCTAGCCTGTGCTATGTGAGACACAATGGCCGTGGTGATAGATGATGACTTGCTTTGGATGGTCAAAGAATTTAGAGAACCCACAGGCTGAAGTAGACCAGCATCTCTGTGCTTGTAACATTCTTCTTGAACTTGACATTGACAGAGAAATTGTATCAGAAACTTATAAAAATTTGCTGAGTACAATGAACTCAGGAGGTGATACGACCACCAAAGAGGCAAGGGGACAATTCACACACAAATCAGTTATAGCGTGTGTGTGTGTGCATGTGTGCTTGTGTGTGTGCCTATGTATGTGTGTGTGCTTGTGTGCATTTGTGTGTGACTGTGCTTGTGTGTTAACTGGGTCCCAGTTAGACAGGCTGGCTTTGAACTCCTGACTCTCCAGTTTCTTTTTCCCAAGTGCTGAGGTTACAGATGTGCACCATGCCACCACACTTGGCTTGTTTTTAGTACACACAATATGGTATGTCAGCTTCTCCTGCCGGTGCTTAGGTTGGCTTTCTCAAACCCAAGTTGGCTTTTGATTTATTGTTTATTTTGAATTCCAGGGTAGTGAGAATGGCTTTCTCCAGGTCCCGGGTTGTGAGTGGGCAGTGTTCCGATTGGCACATCCTGGAGTCATCACTCAAATTGAAATTGATACGAAGTACTTTAAAGGTAAGCTCTTTGCCAGGCAGGCAGCACCATACATCTGCCAGGTTCACTGTACAGGTAATAGGTGCTGTGGGAGTCAGCTGCAGTGTTGCTCTTCTCATTCAGCTGTGTGGCTTTGGGGAAGTGTCTTTCTAATCTGTCATCTGGTACCTCTTCAGAGGTTGTTGTTGGCTGCATGGCTCTGAGGGTCATCTTGTTAGAAAGCTTTGGAAGGAAGAAGGCTGCAGCTCGAAGGCAGAACTTGTTCTGACTTTCCAGGCTGTGAGCTAGAGACTTAAAGAGACAGGCAATGACCCACATGAGATTCCAGGCTGATGTGAGGCGGGTTCCCCTTAGAAGGTACAGAGGCCTTGTGAGAACATCAGAGAGGTTGGTCCAGTAGTAAAAAGAATTTGGACATTAGCCTGGTTAGTCTGTAATTGCTTTGTGTGTGTGTGTGTGTGTGTGTGTGTAATTGCTTTTTTAATGAAATATACATGTTGCCCATTATATTAAAAAAAAACAAAGAGGGCTGCAAAAGTACCTGTTAGGTGATGAAAGTATTAGATTGGGCACCTCATGATTGTTTATCAGACTCTATAGCATGTGGTGGCAGTTCATATTCATATTTTTGGATGATTGGATTTTAAATGACTTCCAGATCATAGTTTTAATATTGACTATATGAAGGCTCAACAATACAGTGAAGGTCAGGTTTATTAGTGGGTATAAAGTATTTTCAAAACCTTTTATGTTTTTTGTTTTTCTTTGGCAGATTGTGGTTTATTTATTTACCCTGTGAGGTATGTGTGTGTGTGTGTGTGTGTGCATGCAGTTGCATGGGGGCCCAAGGTTGGCATCATGTGGAAAGACCTCATGTGAGATTGTACTGATCTTCTCACTGGTCAGTGAGGCTGACAAGCTTATCCTGAGGGGTAGGTGACATGCCAGCTCATTTGTGAATGCTTTAAGCTTAATAGCATCTTTACTCCACAGTTCTCTTCATGATGATATAGGATAACCTGTTTTTTTTTTCCCCCTTGAGGGAGTTTAGTTAAAGGCACAGCAGTAAATCCTGATAACTTGTGCTCCAAATAGGTCATGAATATAAGCTGCCGAACCCTTGGGACCTCTTGTAGAACTCAGGAAGGAGAGAGCATGACAATATCCTTGGTATCAATAATACAATAAGTTATATTCAGTTGGATCAAGGCTACATAGCTTAGTGAACACACATATGCACACGTCGGAGACCAATAGGGTGGCTTTAATGTTCACCCTGCATTCTGGGATCACAAATGACCCACATTCAAGACTATTCACCCAAGAGATGAACCGCAGATGGTTCATGCAGGCAGCAAGAGGCTTCTGCCGGGGTTCAGAATCTCCATCTTAGAGTACTCCTCATAGGAGCATGTGACCCTTCTCCTAGGGCCTCTGACCCTTGCATAGGAAAGAATGAAGTCCCAAAGAGACAAGAGACTCAAAGCTGTATTCTTTCACCTAAAGGCACCTTAGCCATCCCTGTGTGCAGAATGTCTGATTTGGGCTCAGCACCCACTAGTGTAGCTTGCAATTACAACCACCCCTCTTTTTCTTATCTTTGTCCTCAGACTAAAAATTTATTTATTTTTGGGCTGGGGAGATGGCTTATCAATTAAGGAATGCTCTTCCAGAGGTCCTGAGTTCAATTCCCAGCAACCACATGGTGGCTCACGGCCATCTGTAATGGGATCTGATGGCCTCTTCTGGTGTGTCTGAAGATAGAGACAGTGTACTCACATTTTATATATCTTAAATATCTTTATATATCTTAAAATTTATTTATTTATTTTTATGTAGAGGAGGTGCGACTGTGCAGGTAACCATGGTGACCAGATTAGGGGTTAAATCCCCTGGAGCTAGAGCTAAAGGCACTGTGAGCCACGTAATGTATGTTTTGGAAGCTGACTTCAGGTGCTCTGGAAGAGCGTGAAGCACTCTTAATTGCTGGGCCACCTATCCCCAGCCCCAGGATTTCTTTTTATTGTCACATTATAAAATGACATTGTGTCCCAGTCCATCATGATTTCAGATGCTTTGTAGCAGTAGGTAAGAGATTTAGCTTGCAGTCTATGACACTTATCAAGTACATCCAACCAACACATGGCTGGCTGCTTCTCATTCATCTGAACTGCACTCATTCCTGTACTCCACAAGGCAGTCCAGCCTCATTCCTTCCTTTCTCCTTCACTATATTTTTTTTTTCTTTAGAAAGAATTCGGAATTGTTCTTGATTTCAGTTATTGTTCTTGTTTTGCGGTTCTGGGACTTGAACCCAGGGTCCCATACACACCAGGCAAGTGCTCTATCACTGAGCTATCTTCCCAGCCTATTTCTAGGTTTGATCTGATTGAATTACTCGTATCCTAGAAGCCGAGGTATGCTGAAGGGAACAGTGTCCACGTTTCTCTTTCCTCTAACAGGCAATTGTCCCGACAGCTGCAAAGTGGATGGGTGTATCCTGACTACACTGGAAGAGGAAGACATGATCAGGCAGAAGTGGAATCTTCCTGCCAATAAGTGGAAGCCATTGCTTCCAGTTACCAAGGTCTGTGGGGTGAAGTTTGAGGACTGACCTTCAGTCTGTGGAGGAACCTGGGATCTTGCACATGCTATACATCTCCCCACCACTGAGCTGCACCCCTGCACATCTCCCCACCACTGAGCTGCACCCCTGCTCATCTCCCTACAGCTGAGCTGCGCCCCTGCACATCTCCCTACCACTGAGCTCTACCCCTGCTCATCTCCCTACCACTGAGCTGCGCCCCTGCACATCTCCCCACCACTGAGCTGCACCCCTGCACATCTCCC